AGCCTCAATAAAAACCATTTCTAATCTTAAAAGAATTTTTCCGGACTCTTCTCTTAAGTATGTTTCAATCTTTTTATTGATTTCTCCTGCTGATCTAGTTATATACTCATCTATATCATTTTCTGAAAGAAGCACATGCTGGTTTCCTCTATGATAAGGATGGTGATAACTTGTACTATAGTTTTCAATATTACTAGGGTCCCCATTTTTATATTTATATTTTACATAGGTGGCGGATACTACTAGTGCAGATTTTATTTGGTCTTTTTTCTGTAACTTTTCCTTTAAGACCTTTGTGATAGCCCCTCTTGCGCTTCCCATAAGTTGAGGCAAATATGGCGCATCAGCATAATCTATTGAATTGTCTTGGCGCTTATTAAATGCATATGCTGAGTTTTTGTTAGAGGGGACTAAAGCTTCCCAAAAGGTCACAGCATCCAAACTTTTATATAGCCTTTCTGTATCAGGTCTTTTTTTCAGAAATTTTATTTCTTCAGAGGGAGGTTCTTTTTCTACAATGCCATTTTCTATTTCACAGATTGATTGAAAATTCTCTTCAGGAGCGTACTCTTTTTTTTGAACCCTTTCTCTGTAAGCTTGGGTTGCAGGGCCTGGACCGGCTTCATGATTTGGTATAGGGCTTAATAACTGAGGGTTGGGTGCAGGCTTGCATGGAAACTTTCTGTTTAGATGATCACGAAGTTTGCGTGGTGTTGCAAACTCATACCCACATCAGTTACAAATTCAGTTACCTTTTACCATCTTGTTTTGTATACAACACTTTATAAAATTATTTGTTTAATTAATAATTTCTTAACAAGTATTACTAGGATATAGTACTTCTGATGAAATTTTTGGTAACGCAATTTTAGCCTAGGAATTGGCAGTAATAGACTTAGACCCCAAAAGGGCATTTCTACCCCAAGGAGGCACCCATTTTTGGTAAGACTAAAATTTTTGGTAAGAGATTTTGACTTAGACTCCTTGACCACCAAATATCCACTACAAGACCGCCAGCCATAGCAACCAAAGTTACAACCCTCTTTAAACCTACAATACCCATTTCAAGACCAGTATTGGTACAAGGCAAAACCAAGCTCTATAGCTCTATTTAACCACTAAATAGGATACCAAAAGGATAATTACACCCTATTTAATAGTTTAAAAGCCTTAAAAAGCTTAAATAGGTATACAGAGAAGTTAATACCCTAGATGGGTATGTGGAGGGGTATTAAGGTGCAAGGAGAGCAACACTTACCGAAAACTGACCCAGAACTCCTGTTTTTGTACTACTGGTGATTATATAGAGGGCTGACTGTATTTCAGACCAACCTTCCTTTACACTTGAACAAATTAAAATCTGCTCTCTTAATACAAATGGACTGTCTTACTCCAAACAAGCCTTACTTCACAACTTCATTACTGAGAACCAAATAAACATTTTTGGCCTTTCTGAAACTCATCTAAGTGTCAAAGATGCTAAACTACTCTTATTAAGTCAAAACCTTTCAAATTATACTAATCTCTGGAGTGAAGCTGACAACACTAGACAAGGTGGAGTTGGTCTTTTAATATATGAAAATCTCTCTAGGTTTATTAGCAAAATACAAGAATACAAAGGTTATATCCTTTCCATAGACTTATTTTTACCAAACTATCCCATTTGACTTATACAACTATATTTTCCAACCAAAGAAAAACAAACCTTAAAAAAAGAAATATATGAACAAACACTTCTTTTTATTTAAAAAACCAACTATAAAATTATTATCATAGGAGATTTTAATGTAACACCAAATCCTAAAATTAACTGATTGCCACCAAAAAAAACTCAATCTCCAGAATCCTCACTAATTAAATACCTTAAACCAAATTTCTATGACACCTTTAGAATCTTTCACGCTGACCTTTCAAAATTCACTTGCTATCACAAAGATCATCAAAGTAGAATAGACCAAATTTGGACAAACCTTTATATAACCACCTTAGACTATGCAGATATCTTAGATACAACTCCCACAGACTCAGACCACAATATCACTCTCTTAGAAATTACTTTATCTGCTGCTTCGATATTACTTCACAAACAACCCAAGTGGAAAATATCTCTTTGGAAGCATACAACTGCTGAACAAATAGAAAAATATCAAAACCACCTAGATGGAAATCTTAAAAAAATTAAAAACCAAATCACACAAATCCAAAATTAACAAGACTTAGACGAAATTTGGAAAATTATTAACAAATCCTTTATAAAAGCAGCCAACAAATATATCCCATACAAAAAAATAAATCCTAACAAGAGAATCAATCTACCCAAAAAATCAAATATACACACACTTTCTTTCAATATAAAGCATTTGTAAAAATCAAAAAATTACTTAAATCATCTAACCTTCCTAATTATCTTCACGAATACTACCAAAAATTTCAAAACAATACACTATTAACTCCTAATACCCTACCTAACTCTCATCTATCATCCCTTCATAATCTTCTCAAAACCGAAACCAAGAACTTAAAAACACTATTAGATCAAGAAAACAAGAAACAAACACAACAAGAAATTTCAAACAAACTTCAAGAAAGGAACTTAAACTTCACTGAAAACCTCAAACTATTTTTCAAGAAAGTTCTTGAAAGATATAATAATAATACTAACTTAGACAGGCTTCTTCTTCAGGATTCTTTATTAACAAATCCCAAAGATATTAAAGAAGCCACACACTTCTAAAACTACTTTCAACAACAACCTCTTCTACCTATTCCTCCTGAATCTGACTTTTACGATCTATACAAACCACAATCTGAACTTGAGACACACTATAACAACCTTCTTTCAGAAATTTCTGATAACGAATGGATCAAAACTATAAACCAACTACCTAATCAAAAAGCCTCAGGTCCTTCTGGCACTAACTACGAACATATTAAACTTGCATCACAACAAAGTCAAAGAACACTCAGACTCCTTCTATCTAAATGCCTACAACTACAATT